GAGTTTCAAATGGTATAATTCAATATCTTATAGGGATCTTTATACAAATAGCTGGACTAATTCATGTTTAATTTTCCTATAACAAGTATACATATATTATGCATTAATTATATATAGTTATACATATATTACAAATAAATTATACATATATCGTACATTTATCGACTATTAGTTTAAGCAGCTGGTTTGGCGACTATTTAGATTAACTCTTCAATCTCTCTTATATACCATGCAAGTAGTATCTACATATAGTGACATTTATTTTTATTAGTTTAAGTACGTGAACATGTTTCGTACATTTTCATTAATTGACTCATCAATCTTTTTCTAGTTCACGGGTGTCTGTCTCTCTTATGTTAATGGAAATGGGTTTTGCTGTACGTAGAGAGAAAGTGGTGGTGCCAGAAACAAAGCCATACATAACATTTCAAGGAGCAGGGAAGGAATTGACGATAATAGAATGGCATGATAGAGCAAAGGACAAAGGCGCAGATGGACAACAGCTTCGTACCTATCAAACTGCTTCTGTCACTGTTTATGCTCCTTTTTTCTCTGCTCGAAATATTAGCTTCAAAGTATGGTCTTTTTCTCCTTTTTGTTTCTTTCTTTCCAGTTAACTTTTAAACAAGAAAGTGTGTGTGTGTGTGAGAGAGAGAGAGAGAGGCAATTTTACAGTTACATATCACTATCTGTGGCCAAAGTTGGAAAAATACAACACTAGATAAGAATGTCAGAAAACTTTTTCAGTTTGCACCAATCGGAGAATGAATTTAAGTTTTTACACAATCTTTTATTTTTTTGCAAAATTTTATCGATTATACTATATGTAATTTACTCTCTTTCTAGGCGTTACACTTTACGTTAAATATTGATAATTATCTGTAGTGGTTTTCTATAGATAATTTGGAGAATATATTGAAAATCCCAACCTATATATATAAAGCCTTATCCAATCTCTATGGATTTAACTTACAATTTAAAGAATTTTTACACAATTAGTTAATATATTTTAGTCTGTAACAGCTAATCTATTTTATTCTACAAGTTGCTTATCCATTTTTATAGACAATTACATGTATACAATCAAATTTCTCTATAACAATTTCAGATGTTCCGATATTTTTTGGCTGCTATATATAGTGAAGTATTCTTATATAGGACATATATTATAACATAATATTAAAATCGGTTTCGATAAAAATTGGACTTTTTTATATAGTGAATGGCTGTTATATAGGAATGTTGTTATATAGATGTCTGACTGTATATAAGTTAATTCATGCATTGTTATTACTTAGTAGTGTATTGTCATATTTTTACCACTATTAAAATTGTCACAAGAAAATCTCTCATTTTTGTTGAATGGAATGGTAATTGGCTGTTGTAGAACACAGCACCAGCACCATTGCCAGGGATGCAAGGATGGCAAGCAGTGGCATTTCGGATATCAGGCGACAAGGCTTTCTTCTCCGGCTGTGGATTCTACGGCGCACAGGACACTCTCTGCGACGACGCTGGCCGCCATTATTTCAAAGAATGCTACATTGAGGGCTCTATTGACTTCATTTTTGGCAATGGTCGCTCCATGTATAAGGTATATATCTAAAACGTTAATTTACTCTTATATATGATCATGGGCAATCCTTATTTAATTAGCTAACTTTTAAAGTTGCGTTACATCTAAATGAATCTTACAAGTATCAGCACAAAGTAATATAATTTGTTTTATATTTGGTTGCATACTTGCATTGGAAAAGATGAGGAAAAAGAAGATAATAGTACTAATAGTACAAGAGATTTTTCAAAAAGTAAGATATAATTGCACCGATTTGCTAAAGCTGGATCCTTGTCTGTTCTTAATGTCTGTAGCATAAAAGGAGTATTGCTTTTTCCATTATTTTAAACGTTCACGACTAATTAGAAATTAATATTACGATCAGTGGCGAAATTAGGAATTTCTACAAGAGTGTTCAAACTTGAAAGAAATAAAAAATATTTCCTGACGAATTAAGGATATTCAATATATGTTATATACCTCTAAAATCTAATATTTTACCTTTGTAAACAGTATAATTTTTTGACAAATGGTGGTCAATTTTCTCCCCTGACTACTATATGGGTGCTGCAGTAAACAATGCTACAAGCAACTATTTACGTCCAAAATAATTACTAGTAGGGTTCCTAGTGTAAATATGTATGAAAATATAGTTAAAGAGAAAAATTTATTTGGATCCTCAAATAATGATATATAGTGAAACTTTTAAGATAGAGAGAGTATATCATACTAATACTCCTAATAATTTATTCCTATCCCAAAGTTCTTTAGGATTGAGACATAGTTGTTGGTGTTGTAATTATTAATAACTGTCCAAATAAAATTAAGAAAAGTGTAATATCTTGCTTCTTTGTCTTCTTGAGCCGATGGTCTTTTGGAAACCACCTCTTTATTCCTCGGGGTAGGAGTAAGATCTACGTATACACTATTCTCCCTAGACCCAACTAGTGGGATTTTACTGGGTCGTTGTTGTTGTTGTAATACAGTCGGACCTCTCTATAACAACATCCCTATATAACAACACTTCACTATAAAAGCCAAGCTTTTCCAGAACCAATTTTTATGTTATATAATAATATATGTTCTCTATAACAACACTTCGCTATAACATCCAAAAACATTCGGAACAAATGACGTTGTTATAGGGAGGTTTAACTGTTTATTGCTTGTGTTGGTGCAGGACTGCGAGCTACATTCAATAGCCACAAGATTTGGGTCCATAGCAGCCCAAGATAGAAGATCCCCAGATGAGAAGTCTGGATTTGCATTCATAGGGTGCAGGGTTACAGGGTCTGGCCCACTTTATGTGGGCCGTGCTATGGGCCAGTACTCCAGAATTGTCTATTCCTACACCTACTTCGATGACGTTGTGGCCCATGGTGGCTGGGATGACTGGGACCACGTCAGCAACAAGAACAAGTAAGATAACATATATAGATTATATGCATTAATAGAACAAGATGAGTTATACATCCGCTGGTATTTTAATCAGTTCTTGTTGTATTTTTGCTCTTTTTTGGGCTTCCAATATTGAGTTAAATCCTAAACTGGGCTGGGTTGTATGAAAAATTCCAGGACTGCATTTTTTGGAGTGTACAAATGCTGGGGCCCGGGAGCAGCAGCAGTGATGGGAGTATCATGGGCCCGTGAGCTGGATTACGACACGGCCCACCCATTTCTAGCCAAGAGCTTTGTCAACGGACGCCACTGGATTGCTCCATCTGACGCTTAAACATTTTTTGCACAGAATACTGTTTGTTTCTGTTGCCATTTAATCAATTCTTTAATTCCATTCCATTCATCTTGTTTATATAGAAACAAAATGATTGTAATCATAGTCAGTGATCTCTTTGTACCTTTGTATACTTATGTTTTCTCTTCTATCTTTTGTCTCCAGCTAGTGGGAATTCCATTCTTGTATCAACACGAAATATGATTATTGGACTCTATATATGAACAAGTGAAAATCTTCGATGCAACTATTGAGTGAATCAATTTAGATAGTCTTGTGTGACTCCGGTAGCAACTAGATCAATGCTTTTATTATCATCTATTACTGTTTAAACTTAAAGCACTGGCTGGCCGTATCTGTGTTGTTCTTATTGTGGAAATGACATCAAGTAGGGGTGTCAATGGATATTTAAAAACCGACTAAACCGATCGAACCGTACCGTACCGAACCGATTTTTAGATTTCTTTTAATAAAACCGTATGTTTTTATCTAAATCCATAACCGTACCGATAATTAGGGTAGATTTTTTATTTTATGGAAATAAACAGAAAAAATACCAAACCGTACCGGATAAATTTAAAATGTGAAAAATATATTTATATATTAAGTTTAAAAATAATAAAGCACTGAATTTTTTCTTGGGCCTTGAAATTATGAAATAATTATAAGCCAACAAGTAATTAAACTCAAAATCCTAATTCCCAAACCTATATGCTACTCTTATTAAAACTAAATTATTTCCAGCATATTCACTAGCAAGACACAAGGTATTGTAGCGATTATGAGTAGCAAACTACAATGTATTGAATATGTTTCCTTTCATATGATTTGGATTTTTCTTTTTGAATATTTAATCTTCTATAGAATTTATTCTTGAGTGCTAGCTTGGTTAATATCTTTCTACTCGTGTAATTTATATTTTTATTGTATTTGCTTAGTTTCTTTTACGTAGTTGTAGAATAGTTGATGGATCTATACACTAGCCATCTTTCATGTTTTCTTAATTCATCACCTTTTAAACTGTAAAAATGTCTAAAGAGCTTTGCTAAGTCATATAAAAGTACGTATGTTATTGCATTCTACTTCTACTAGTGACTTTTACATGACATTCAAAATATTACCGAAAATTAACCAAACTGTACCGATACCGAAGAGAAACCGACATGATCGAGACGGTTTCGAAAAGTCTAATTTTGGTTATACATAATAGAATAACTGAAAAATTGGTATAGTACAACTTTTATAAAATAACTAGCCGAACCGAATCATTGACACCCCTTCAAGTGGTCACTTTTAAGCATGCTGTTTAAAATATATCTACAGTTTACAATGTATTTAAACATTAGCCAATTAAGCTCAAATTTCAGGACACGACGTCCTAGAGTTTAAACCTCAAGATTTAAACTTCAGAACATCGTGTCTTAAAGTTCAAAAATTGTATCGTGAAGTTCGAATCTTATGTCCTAAATTCTAAATTAGCAGTTCAAAAATTCAGGACATTGTATCCTAATGTTTGAAAATTGTATCCCGAAGTTCGAAAATTCGAAATTTGGGTGAATTGGCTAATCTTTAAATACATTGTAAACTGTCGATATATTTTAAATAGCGGGCTTAAAAGTGGCTATTGCTGCACTTCACCCGTTCTTATTCCACCATTTTAAGAATTGCAACCATTTTGTTGTCTAACAGGACTCCTATGTGAACACCAAAAAAGAAAAGGAAATAAGGCACCGAGATAATTAACAGCAATAAGATTACAAATAGAATCCGGGGCAAAACAAATGTTCTATGCAAACTGTGACAATGGTGACAAAGAAAACAAGCAGGACATTCGAACGGGGACATTTCAGTTTTCACATAACACAGCAGTTCTGTTGGCCCTCCAACATCTCTGGGGATCTGCAAAACAACGAGAAAGATAGCTAAATATACCAAAGGATACACAATAACATGGTTGTCTAATGAGGTATTACGAAACATCGAACACTTCTCGCAATCTATCTTCAAACACTATGGATGGTAGAGATCATGCGTATGATGAGTTTTGTATTTCCTTTCTTTTCCCGTATTGAAAAGATCTTAACACATATAAGCCGCGCTTCAAATTTTACAACTATAATGCTAACCTTGATCTGTGTCCATTTGTAAAAAAATAATCAAAGGTATGAACTTCAACTTAGTGAGATCACTATCAAAAGCTAAAACTTTACTTATGTAAACAATAAGCAAACCCCAAAATAGTCTAGGAAAGATACTTCCGCACTTCTAAATCGCCCCCAAATAAAGGAAGAGGGTTGTGATACGTCAATGACCAGCGTAAACTTAGTCAAACTATGAACTGCTAGGAACTGTAATAAAACAGAATGTCTACTAAGGGTTCATGGCCGACTCTAACTAGTTTGATATTGAAGCGTAGTTGAGTTGAATTTAAACCACAACCCAATTTTTTTTGGGAAAACCATGCATACGTCAAAAACCTTGGCAAAATAGCTCTCTACAAAGGAAATCAGGACCACTTAGTTGTCAGTATGCCGTTAACTCAATATGAACAAAATCCTGAAAACGTTAGAACACTTACAGTTGTCCAAGAGATGATATATCAAAGTCTGGAGCAAGCTCATGAACAATATCATTTGGCGGTTGGCCACATTCTTGCATTTTCTGCATAAGCTCTACAATTTTGTTGAAGTTGCTAGGTTCAGTCTCGTAAACTTTGTTCAGATCTCTTATAAGTTCATACTGGTGTCTGTAACGTTCATAATCTTCCGTGCTCAACTTAGCTTTGTTGTCCTCCAACCATTTAGGATATCTCTCTTCAATTTCTTTCATGGGTTCATGAAGGATTTCCTTTGACAAAAGCTGTTGCATCATGGTCTCTACTATCGACTCCATGTCCTACGACTCGGAGGAACAAAATAATCATATATCCACTTAGAGCAAGTGAAAAGCTACAGGATAAAGATGATGCATAATGAGAACACGTAAAAGAGAAAAAAGCATCAGTAACTTCTTTATAGTGACCCTCGACCAATCATTCAAAACCAAATCCAAAGCTGTAAACACCATTCATTGCTGCTAGAGAAAAATACCTTGACCCTACCATGCAGCTTCTTTATCATAAAACTTAATCCAGAATTACATTCAAGAAAAAAAAGCCTCGCACATTTCCATGTATTTTGCCAAGTTAGCTTTAACCCTTAACTTGATGAGGGTATAGCCTATAGGAAACATCACTGAATGTCTTCAAAACATGAGGAGATGCTCTACAGTAAGGAGCAGACTCTTTGTTACATTTTTCAGGCTCTACATTTTGCTTGTCTCCTATTCACCTATTTGGAACATATAGATCAAGAAATGGTTTTATGATCCCCAAAATATTATAGTAACTCCGAAAAAATCAAGCTTAAGATAATACCTTTCATATACATTTAATTTTCATCACAAATTCCAATAATGGAATTAATCTATCTTCTTAGTTTATGTAACAATTAATCAAAGTCTCTAGGATACCTGTGAATAATTACCAAAAAAGAGTGCAGAGAATGGACTAAAGCAGGGACGAAAACATCAGCAAGGGATGAAAATCTGCCATTACAGGCATGCTTTACAAACACAAACTTGCGCACATGAAGCATACACCACAAGTAAAAGCGAGAAATTATCTTTGGCCCCACAGTGAGAATCTATTTTCAAGGAATGTAAGGAGATACCTAAACAGAGTTTGAATTTAGGTTAGCTATTGCAGTCGTAAACTAAAGGATTGCTAGACTCAAATATTAAGCAATGTTCTCTATGACTTATAGGGTTTTGGTGTAATTCAGGTTAGCCTTGTCTTAGTAATTGATGCAAGGGTCAATTAATCTCCCAAATTCAGTCTTTTCCTCAGCAATTCACCTTTCAAACACCAATATATCCACATTAAAACCAAAAGAAACCTTCAAAAACTTTACTCGTAGAAGAATGCTACTCCACATTGTAGTAGATATTATCTTCTCCACCTTGATCTCTCCTATTCAGTCTCTGTCCTTTCCTCAAGCAAAGTGTTCGAATCTATCCAAATGTATCCACTCTTTTATTACTAAGAGATTACTGTCATTAAAATTCCAATATTCTTCGAACTTGTACTATGAGAAGAATATGTCAGAATGCTGCCTCAGGCACCCAGATACTCCTTAACCTCAATTCATGACCGTACTCAGTTGGCATTTTTAATAGCAGGAAGCAACTAGATGACATAAAGCATCCGCCCAAAACTAAAGCTCAACAGCCAAAATTGCAATTAATTTAAAACAGGATAAAAGATCAATGGAAATCCAGCTACGTACAGAGATTTTAGAGCAAAACGAATCCGGGTCTACATTTATAAAGGCTTTTAAAGAATTCACCGACGAGTCGTCAACGGGGTGACTGTTCTTTAATAGCACAGGATAACAATGTTTAGTCATAATAACCCACTGCACAACACTTCGATGCACCAAAGCAATCCTTTGGTAGGAAAAAGAAGATGAAAATAAGGCAAAATTATTTCTTGAACAGTCTAGCTATATCAGTGTATCAACCCACACCCGCCTTACTGAAACTAAATAATTTAATGAAGAAAACATTAAATAAAAATCCACCATCTGGGAATGAAATACCATAGCCTCCTTGCAAATACCTGAACGAGGACTTCGCATTCAACTATGGATCTTCATAAAGAGACGTATATTTTTGCAGTTCCCATGTTCAGCATTTTACAAAAAGAACTAAAAGCCGTAAAACCACACACCATTAACATTGAAGAAACATAAAGACAAGATACCTGAGATCCAGAAAGCTCCTCAAACTGCTTAACCCACTCCTCCATCATTGCATCATTCCCCAAGTTATCTACACCAGGTCTCGGCCCGGCCACTGATTCCAATCCTTTAACAGCCTCCCTAGTCTGCTCCCTAAGCTTATCAAGAGCTTCAGCTACGTGCGAATCTTTTGACTCAGCAGAAGCCTTTTGCTTCCCCTTTTTCTTAGCATTCCTATCGGGCAACGTCATCCCTAATCCTTGAACCTTACCAGGCATAAGAGAACTATCTTTCTTGTCCTCCCCATCCCCAATTCTACAATCAAAAAAGCAACCCTTTTAAATTCACAGCTCAAAATTCAACCCCATTAGCTTAAAACACAAAAAAGGAAAAAGGAGGGGGTCCCGCATTTATGCGGTGTCCCCTCCTAGGTTTGATATAGACAGTCTAATCTAATGCAAGCATTAGTGGCTGCTTCCACCCGTTAGCTTTAAACACAAGTAAAGATAAATAATGCCACAAGAGAAAGTAGAAACCTTTGAGAACCAGAAGCTAGATTGAGGCTCTGAAAATCATCCAAAGCACCTGAAAAAAACGAAAATTAAGAAAAGGGCAACTTTGAATAATCCCATTTAATTACATATATATCTGATATATATATATATATATATATATATATATATATATATATATATATGACCAAAAAACAGTCAAAGACAGATACCTATTTACAAACGGGGAAAAGGGTAACTTTGAATAACCTAATTCAATTCAGTTAAATGCAGTTCTAAGGCATGTAATCAAGTATATACGAGGAAAAGGGTGAAGATGCTAACTGTCAAGGAGTTGGTCTAAATCATCAGAGTGGTCAGTAGCCATGGATGAAGTATTGTATATGTTGTAGGTTTTAGTGTATTCACCTAAAATATCAATAAAAATCCAATCTTTATGAATCTTTTTGACATAGAAGATGGGAAAAGGGATGGGATCATACAAGGTTTGGGTTCAAAGAAAATGTACGGCGCCGTTTTGGTCTTAACAACCGACCTTGGGCTTTACTTCCCGAGACAGATTTAGTTGGTAAAGGTAAACAACCTTTTTTATCGTGTTTTACAAAAAAATATGTAGGCTAATTTTTTCATTCTTTTTGTTTTTGTTTTTTTTCTCTTCATTTTTTACACAATTTATATTGTGTCCCAAAATATTGCTGATGTTTTGTACTTTTCCAGATTCAATCATAGCAGTGAATTTTATACGTTTATTTTTCAAGGAAAGAAATTCCTGGACCTGTAATATCTGAATATTAAATTAAACTATTATTCTCGAATTATCAGTATTATTTAATTTTGATTTAACTTAAAAAATTGATCGAAATAACACTCTAGCAAAAGTAAACAATAAATTGGGATGGAAAATAATCACGACTTTATAATACTAATTGAAATTTTGATGGTCTTTAATTAATCGTACGTCATATGTTTGATTTAAATTTTTATAATTTTGCAATTTCTCTTTTAACAACCTAGTTTTAGTGTACGTACATCGCGCGTGTGTCTAGCTTCAATCACTAAAGTACAAGAAGAACATGTAAATCAAATTATCAAATGCTAAGTTTTAAAATATCTACATTAAGTTAATATTTTACAACAAGAAACTTAGTACATAAAAAAGTATAGAAAGTTGTCATTTGTTTAAATGAATACCAAAATAAAGAAAATAATTAATAACAACTCACTTAAAATATATTTTATCTTTATTGTTTAATGTTTGTTTTAACAATTAATACTATACTATAACCGATTATATGATGAATTTCGTAAAGAATGACTTGGATTTTTTTTTGCAAATTAGTTAAATCAAATAATGCTTTGGTTAATTAATTTAAGGATTTAATAATTTATTCTTAATGTTAAAGTGGATAATTTATTTTTGTTTATTCAAATATTAATATTAGCTCATCCCAAATTCAAATATTTAAATGTAATTATAATTTTATCCAATAAGAATTTCATGTTCAGAGTAATAGAAAAATCACTATGATATATCACTCTTGAATTTTTTCATTAGTTCAACCATTAATATTATTGTATCTTACAAAACTTCTCTTTTTTTTGTATTCTTAAAATTAAAATATTTTTTTAGTTAAGCTTGATATTTCAATTCTAAAAAAAATAGAATTGATGAACTTTTGAGATTACTATGTCTATGATCGTTAGATATTTGTTCTTGCTCTCAAGCATGATTTAATAACAAAAGCTTTAGTTGATCAAAATCCAAAATATAAAAAAATAATAATTAAATAACTATGTTGTTATTTAAATAAAATACTCGTAAACCTTGAAAAAGGACGGTTAAAACGGGGCGGGGGAGAGGGGAGTAAGGACTCCAAAACCAAAAAAAGAAAAATTAGGACAACTAAACCTAAACTTTTATAACAAAAAAAGAAAAAGAAAAAATACTCGTAAACCTTTTAAAAAAGAGTGTTTGTGAAGTGCTTGGAATTCAGTACCCTAAACCTAGATAGAGTTTATATGAAGGACTCCAATTAATTAAATAACACAATTCTCTAGACCAAAGTCCTAAGTATTAGAGAAATAATTAAGAGATTATTTTTAAATATTAGGGAAATAATTAAATGGCCAAACCTACATTTTAGGAAAATAACTTAAATTACTATTTTGTCCAACATGAAAGCTAGTTTTAAAGGGTAAAAACGACGAACAATAATTCTCTAAGGGTCTTCGTGCTTTTAATATTGTACTAGCTTTTATGTACGTGCGTTGCACGTAAATTTTCAGTCCATTATTTATATGAAAGAATATAATATTTATAACTATTAAAATACCATTTTCAAGAAAAATGATCATATCATAAAGTAATGACGTGGAAAAATGCAACTAACATTTAAATGTCAAAATCAATGCTACTTATATTTACATAACACTTGAATTCAAAATAATTTGATATCGTCTGAACTACAAAGATGATAAATTTAGTTAAGTTACGTGCATAATATTTCTATTACTTGATGTTTTAGTGTATATTCCCTTCTATCACTTTGGCCGATCTGTCATCACTCATCACAGAACTGTTGTTATTGTCATATTGATAATCTCTCTTGAAAGTCTAGCATATAATTGTTCGTGTGAGAAAACATGTTGTGTTATTATTTAGGCATGTGATTCCTTTATGTCATTGCAAAACAAAAGTATATTGAAAAAAATATCCTTTATTTTTTGGAGGCGAAAGTTTATTTGGAAATATGATAGTACTGTCAAAACCTCTATCTACCATCCTTGTAAATTATGTAAGCCATTTGAGAGATCTAATTTTTTTAGTAATATAGTAGATGCATTTTTCTTCAAAATGAATCATCTCTTAAAGACTTTGCTTTTGCCAGTTTGAAATAAATATCTTTTTGAGCAGCATCAACATAGCAGCATTGGGCTCTTATTATCTTATTGACGATCCTACATGTATAAACATTATATTGAGAAAAAAATACATGATCAATGACATGAGTCCAATGTTAATATACACTGTACATATACATGATATGAACATGTACATCATAACAATAGAAGTCATCTCAAAACGGTAATAATTGTGTGCGATGATCTCTGCTTAGTTATTATTCCTATCCCACATAAACAAAGTTGAGATTAAAACTGCTTTAATTGTAATCTGAAAGGAATCCTCCGTAATTCTAAAACATATATTTAAGCCATTATATGATAGTATTATTTTATTTTTGTTTTGGACTTTGAAGACCTTATGCACCTTCAGATTATTATAAATCGCCGTTGCATATTTTTCCTCATTTCCTCTTGGATTTATTAATTGGAAAGCGTCCAAGGAGGATGCTTTTCCCTTTTTACGCAACTAGCCCCGATTTCAATAGCGCCAAAGTCATTTGTCATCCTTTAACAGTTAGAGAAAACGTAAATATATTAACTTTCAGCACTGCTAAAGACTTGAATAGAGCGTGCCCCAAAGATTCATTCCCGTTGCGCAACATCGATCTCTTGATCGACGCCACGACTGGCCACGAGATCCTCACCTTTCTCGACGCCTACTCGGGGTATAATCAAATTCAGATGAACCCCGAGGATAGGAAAAAAACTTTGTTCACCACAAACTACAGTACATACTGCTACAATGTGATGCCCTTCGGGCTAAAAAATGCGGGGGCCACGTATTAACGCCTAGTTAATAAGATGTTCGAAAACCAAATAGGAAATTCCATGGAAGTTTACATTAACGATATGCTAGTTAAGTCCCTGCGCACAGAGGACCATTTAACTCATTTGCAGGAGACATCCGACATCCTCAGAAGCTACAACATGAAACTCAATCCCGAGAAATGTGCCTTCGGAGTGGGTTCGGGCAAATTCTTAGACTTTATGGTGTCAAACAGGGGGAGAGAGATCAACCCCGATAAAATCAAAGCCATCGAAGAGATCACGGTGGTAAAAAATATGAAGGCCATGCAGCGGCTGACTGGGCGAATAGCAGCTTTGGGCTGATTCATATCAAGGTCGTCAGACAGGAGTCATCATTTCTTCTCCCTACTCAAAAAGAAAAACAGCTTTGAATGGACTCCGGAATGCCAGCGTGCTTTAGAGGAGTTGAAGCGATATCTTACGAACCCACCTTTACTTCACACCCCAAAAGAAGATGAAACGCTGTATTTGTACCTGGCTGTGTTCGAGGTAGCGGTAAGTGGTGTGCTGGTTCGAGAAGAGCAAAGTACGCAATTCCCTGTATATTATATAAGTCGGACCCTGGGAGATGCCGAAACCAGGTAGCCGCACCTAGAAAAGTTAGCTCTTGCATTAATAAGCGCATCTCGAAAATTAAAGCCTTATTTCTAATGCCATCGTATTTGTGTTTTAACAACATACCCTCTCCGAAGCATATTGCATAAGCCCGAATTATTAGGCCGTCTGGCTAAATGGGCGATCGAACTCGGGGGGTACGATATCGAATACCAACCCCGAACGGCTATCAAGTCCCAAATTCTGGCAGATTTTATGGCCGACTTCACACCTGCCCTCGTGCCCAAGGTAGAGAAAGAACTATTGTTAAAAACAGGCACATCTTCGGGGGTATGGACCTTGTTCACTGACGGCGCCTCGAACGTGAAAGGGTCCGGACTCGGTATAGTCTTGAAGCCGCCTACGGGCGGCATAATTAGACAATCTATAAAAATCGCAAAATTGACTAACAACGAAGCCGAGTATGAGGCTATGATTGCAGGTATGGAATTGGCCAAAGGCCTAGGAGCGGAAGTCATCGAAGCAAAATGTGACTCCCTCCTGGTAGTAAATCAGGTAAATGGGAGCCTCAAGGTTCGAGAAGACATAATGCAAAGATACTTAGAAAAAATTCAAGTCACATTGCACCGCTTCAAAGAATGGACTCTGATCCACATACCTCGAGAGTAGAATAGCGAGGCCGATGCCCTTGCAAACCTGGGATCATCTGTCGAGGAAGATGACATACTTCCCGGGGCTATCGTTTAGCTATCCAAATTAGTGAGCGAGGAAGGCCACGCCGAGATCAATTCCACTAGCCTAACATGGGATTGGAGAAACAAATATATCGATTATTTGGAAAGTGGGAAGCTACCCCTGGACCCATTCTCGCTCGATGAAAAAAAGACTCTGTATAGGAGAACCTTTGATGGGCCCCTAGCAGTATGTCTAGGGACGGGGGACACAAATTACGTGCTCCGAGAAATCCACAAGGGCACCTGCGGAAACCACTCCGGTGCCGATTCCTTAGTCCGAAAGGTGATCAGAGCAGGTTACCGTAACGACCCGACCGGTCGTTTTGAGCTTCTACACTTTGCTCGCCAGTTATTGGGCATGACTAGCCCCGTATGGTGTATTATGACTTATGTAAATCGTCGGTTTTGGTTTTCAGGGTAATCGGAATGAACTTTGAAGTACAGTTCTCAGTTGGAAGCTTAAAAATTTAAAGGTTTG